ATACTTTCCTCTCTACACTTTAATAGAATAAAATAATCTCAGAATCAGTGAAGACAATGAGGTTTATTCCCAAGTAAGCATGTATAGGATTTATAGTGTAATCCTATATACGTAAATCATGTTTTCAAGAGAACATATCCTAGTTAAGTCATATGTGCAATAAAACATATTCCTAGTTAAGCAGGATCACAGCCTTAGCCTACAATCATTTATATACTTCCCTGGGGATAAATTCTGTTTAAATCTATTAGGCTGATTTTGATTAAATGTGAACATGGTTGCATATTAAGATCCAATCTTCTTCTCACTTATCTAGGAATAAGCTCTACTGCATGCTGTGAGATTTATTTCTAAATCTACATGCATATATTTGCATATTTACTATATTAAAAAGAAAAATGACAAGGATTAGTATAGGGATTACCACAGAAAGCATGTTCACTAATTAGAACATAATTTTAACACTGCAGAGAAAACAATCTAGAAATGGAAAAAAACATGACAAGAATTTGCCATATACTAATGGCCAAATAATTGCTTTAAATATTAAATGAATGAATGAGAGTTAAAGCTGCTCATTATTTATTACCAACATTGATATTTAAAAGTAGCAAGATAATTCATACTCAAAGTAGTGCATTTATATACTCAATTATGTATGGGTGTGTTCTTATATCTATATTCCTTGTGCTTATTCAAGTAACAATACCTTTGGCTTTTAGCAGTACATAATCTGGATAGGAGGCTCCAATGTAGTAAAAATTCGAAGTAACTTCTTAAAATATAAAATAGTTCTCATAAAAACCTTGTTAAAATTTTTTCCCACCATCAAAAACACCATCAGTCATAAACACAGAATATTTAGAGCAACTTCCGAAGTTCTGAATTGAAATAGAGAGAACAGTTCAGGGAGCTAACTGCTAGAGAAGCACATATTTAATCAAACATAAGCACTAAGAGTAATGTATGAAGTAGACATATATTCAACAAATTTTTATTATCCTCTCCTCACACAATCATAGGAGACCTAAAACTCAAAACTGACTTCAAATAGGATATTCACAGAACATAAATAACTAATTAGGTGAGGTTGGACCCGACTAATTTGGAAAACTAGATATTGGAAAGAAGAATAGAATGTTTCTGTATGTGTGTGTGCGCACATGCATATGATTTTCTTCTTTTCCTTCTAAAATCAGATTGCTTGGGATAAATCAAGAAAGACCAAGATGGCAAGTGCTAATGTTAGAATTAGTTTTATACTAGTTGCCATTTATATATAATCTAATCTTAATTTATTAGAAGAATTAATGCTTAAGCAAAATTCAATTATTTTAATACAGATGATAAAATATTGTGAATCTAGAAACATTAAATTTAAGACGAGCAGTTAAAATAATGTTTTTTGGTGTTTGATTTTGTTTTGCTACTTTGTACTAACCCAATGGATATACAGGGTATTTCAACAATCTTCATTACCATGATATAAGTGACAATTGGTTAATAATAATGTCAGCAACAACATGCCAATACCATTTAAACAATGTGCACGATAGCATGATAGCTGAACATTTTAACCAATGAATCAAACAGAAAAAGGTGTAAGTTAAATGAAGTGGTATAAGAGAAATAAATGTACCTCATCCAACATTGAGTTGGTCAGAAATTGCAGCGGAATTAGCTTTCACTGCCATTCCCTATTCAGTTGATAAGCAGTTTTGGAGTTAGTGAGGTCCCATTGTCCCTGCGTATCAGAGAATATGCCTTGAATGTATTGTGCTGTCTGGTATCAAAGAACACAAACAGTTCCTTTTGGAAAAATTCAGCTCCGTATTTGACTTTTGACTTCCAGCATATATTATTATTGCAGAACATAATCTTGCAGTTATGGTCCTGACCTTCCCGGGGGAAAAGAAAATGTGTGGCAACAGTGTCCACACATTTGCTCTGTTAGGAAGACAGCAGGCTATGAACAGGTGGAAGACTCTTCACCTTGCAAGCTCTGGGTAGATTCCTGCTTTGCCCATTTCCTCTCCTGCCCCCAAGGAGAGCGTCTTTTAAAAGAGGAGAGAACTGAATCTCCAAAACCTCTTCCTCCTACTCCAGCCCTTCCTGATAGCTGAGAAGAACTATTATTCTCTGTTCCCAGTTGCTCCGTGGAGCCACAAGCTTTCGGCCATGCTCCCATTTCTCTGGATAAAAACCCCAGTTTACAATTAGAAGTTATGGTTCATGGGTAACTGGCCAGGAAAAACATCGTGCAAAGCTGAAATAATGGTGGCTGTGAAATCAAGCCAACTCACCCAGGCAAAATAAAGATTGGCAGCTGGAGCTGTTTCTTCCAAAACTCTCATTTAAGCTATATACTTTTTCAGTGTCAACTCCAATGTCTTTTGGTTTTGTTTTTTGTTCTCACTGGGTACTTTAGAAAAGCCATTAAAAGGGATTTCACTTGTCCAATAATCTATGTTATCTTTGAAATGCCAGTGTATATATTGTTTTAATAAAAGCATACAATACAACACACTTGGGGTTGTCTTCATTGAGCCTGCTTTGATATTTTTTTCCCTTTTAATTCAAGTTTTAGGACAGCGTGAGGTGTATGTGAATTTCAGTACCTTTCAATACAGCCCTTGCAAACATAAAAATAGGACACTTATTTGCCCACAAATGTCAGACTAGAAATAAGGCATGATTTATTGAGTTGAACAAAGGGTAGAATGTTGCAAGTCTTTGCAGTTATCAAATCCAAACACACACACACACACACACACATTATTTTAAAAACTCTTTGTTAAAAAGCGTACCAATAATTTCAGCCTGATTTCTAGATGACTAGAATCAGCTGTCTGAAGACAAAAATGGATGATTCAATAGGGAAAGCAGGAAGATTAATCAGCCTGACACAGATGCAAGTTGATGAAAGAAAGAACTTACCGTATTTTTCCGACAATAAGACGCCCCCATGTACAAGACGACCCGCACTTTTCCAGCCCAAAATTAAAAAATCAATATTTTAAAGATAGTGCAGAACACATTTTTA